AATTGAATCTTTGTTTTTCTATAATTAATATTGCTAACTTGCAATACTTGTCATAATAATCATACAAGCATAACACTTATGCTCCCACTATCATGATGATTATCATATAAGCATAACATTTATGCTCCCACTAGCTTTGACATGTATTCAGAAAACAAATGAACTTCCAGAAAACAATGCCTATTGAATTTCTGAAATTCATATTTCTAATACCAGATGCTTCGATAAGCCTTTATCTAAGCTTGTTAAACTTATACACCTTTGCCTTAGATAGCTCATATGTGTGCTTAAACAATTTAGAACTTATGTTACTAAGTTCCAAATGTTCAAACTAATTGCCAAATCTCACAATTCGAACTATGGAAAGGGATGCCGTAACCATAATCGAATTTGAGAATACAATTTTCACAATTGCTATCTTCTTAAGATCTCTCTTAGTGAAAGCATTTCCTCATAGTTATTTTCATGAAGGAGGGAATCTTATGACACTTAGATTTTATGGTGTAGGAGTTCCTATCCATGTGAATTTGCCAAAACCAAGGTTTGCGACAAATCCAACCTCATATGGACTGAACTTTCTTAATCTTGATTTCTTGCCCTATGGTAACACGAGTGCCCATCATGTCTTCCAAGTAGTTTACTAACTTGTCCTTACATATCAATGTACTTTCCATCGACTAAGGCTTTAGTATGCATTCAAATGAGAACTCATAGAACTCACATACACAATTAATTCAATTGGAATGGCACATAAACAAAATAATGTCAGCACGATAGGTTGTAAACCTCAAGTCGTGTGCTAGTGATGATCGATAAGGTTTATTCTTGATTTGTTCTTGAAACCTTTCAAGACCATTTAGACTCCCACTGACTCCTTGACATATAATATTCTTTGACAAAGCAAATACTCAAGAGTTAGTGTAGTTCTTATCAAGACAAAACACTTCATATAATTGGTCCTAGTTGGTCTTTGTCTTACCCAAGACAACACAACTTACCAATTTCAAATGTATAAGAATAAGAAAACTTTTCCAGGTTCCACATTTGATTAGTGTTATAAACCTACTTAAAACTTTTTACTCAATGTCACAATCTTGACTCTAAGACTTGATATTGGAACGAAGTATGATTGACTTATTGATTTAACCATTTCTACAATACTTGATTCCTCTTCTTAGACATGCAATTGCACTAAGACTCACTTAGAGATCTATTGAGACATGGTTCTTAATCTTTAAGACTTATCATAAAACACAATAAAAGGTACTCTCCCTTCTTCTTAGAAAAGAGAAACTTTTATCTTTCTGCCTACTTGATTCTTCTTTATTCGTTCTACTATTCATTGAAACTCTTTCAATCAACTCAGAATTACACTTAATCTTATAAGTATAATCACATTTACTAAACTTTAGTAAATCATGACGAATATCTTTTTCACTCTTGTGGTGGACTTGATCAACGCACAACCTAGTGTACTTGATCTCCTAGTCCTTCAATTGACACGTTGTCAAAGAATTAGTCTAAGTTTCCCAATTGTGAAAGTTTTTCATTCATCATACAATACACATTGCATGATTCCAAGTTTCTGTCCAGTTGAAACTTGGGTGATGAGGAACTCTCCTTACTTGGAACTCTTGACACTTCCACAAATAATACAATTAAGAATCAAATCCATTATTGCTAATAATAGAAACATTCAAACATCAATTTTTCATACATGCCATCGCAAGGATAAATAAGTCAAAATTCATTTTATTGCGGAAAAATTTTTGTCCTTACAATGCAATTCAATTGAAAAACTATGTTATTAAATATTTCTTAACAATCTATTCTAACTCCAAGTAGTAGCTCAAGAATCCATTCTTCAAGTAATGCGATCGAAATCCATTTCTTCATGATTAGATTCAACTCACTTCTTTTCTCAAGCTTCCTCTCTTTTCTTCGATCCTACAAAACATCAAAATGTAATCTTATCACATCATGTATTAAGAATCTAGAATAGGAACTCAAAGGAGTTAGATAATGGATTCTACCTGAAGTAGAGCCATATGTCTTGACTCTCCCATCTCTTAGATCTTTCTGGTAGTTAGGGCAGCTTCGTCTCCACTGCCCCTTCTCTTGTCAATAAAAGCAAATGGACTCCTTTGGCACAACACATCGGACAATCATAGACTTAGTTCTTTCTGGACTTCCAATGTTGCCAGTGTCCATTGAAGTTTGGGAGTTTGATTCACTAGACAAATTTGCTTGACCAGCACACCAAATCATTGCTGATTCAGCAGCTATAAGCAAATAGGTGAGATCAATTAGGTTCACGTCGTGGTCCATCATATAGTACTCTCTAACGAACTCACTATATGATTCAGGAAGTGACTGAAGAACCCAGTCAACAGCCAACTCGCTTGAAATCTCGACACCCAACATGCTTAACCTATCAATGTGTGACTTCATCTCTAAGACGTGTGCACACACAGATTTCCCATCTTCGTGTTTACTTGCCAAAATGGCTTGAGTGAGCTTGAACATTTCAAGCCTTTGAACTTGTGGGTCAAGGAGAACAATTGGAGGAGGTGGAGGAAGTGAAGCATGACTCTCATTTCCTTGATCGTATCTCGGAACGTCATCTTCATTTGGAAAGCTTATTCCAAAGGATTTGGGAAGACCATTGTAAGATGTAGACATCTACAAAACGAGAGAAAATTCAAGTTAAGTTGATTAGAATTCTTGATGTAACACCCAAATGAAACATCAAGCTAGGATCCAACACAATACTCTACAACCTAGAAGAGGAATGCCGTAATCTAGTTGTAGAATATTTGAAGGTAGGTAAATCACGATTTACCAATTTCCACCATGAAAAACGAAAAGGAAGTTTAAGTTTTCAAATGAATTGAAACTCCTAGATCTTTTGAGATCCATTGAACTTTTCAATGGCATGTTTAATCTCGGTTATGCCCTACTATTTGTGACTGGGATGCCGATGATCACAAACAAGGTGTGAATAACCATACGAATCACGTGGTGCACCCAATGCTACTATTACCTAATCAATGTGCGGGTTAGCCACACACGCTCCATTGATCTATGATAAGCATCGAGCCACCCTTCGCCACCAATGTCATCCCCAAATTAGTGTGCCGGTTAACCACACACGCTCCACTAACGTTTGACAAGGGTACGAAGTGTAATTCCATGGCTTAGCATACAATTTCACATTTTGCCTAAAGTAACTATGATTTGGGAATTTGTATAAGCATTTAGTTACTTTGTACTTCATTATACTTATAATGGAAGGTTTCTATCCTATCCTACCCGTTCGGCTAACGACCCTCCACTAGTCAAGAGTGCGGTGGGTAAGAGTGGATACCCATTCAATCGCCATTTTATAAGCAATTTCCTTAAACACCCCTTATAGACCAGCTTCGTGAATGAGGCCTACTAAAGGTAAGACTGACTGTTTACTCATACATATACAATATTAGACTTTTAATGTTATATATAGTATAGGGTGTATTTTACACTTTTAAAATACTAGGTGGTTTAATTTAGTAAAATTATACTTTTAATTTAATTAAATGTAAACCAAAACTTTAAGGGCCTATTAAATCACTTTTAATTATACACTTTAATTAATTAATAAAACCATAAGGGTGTGATTTGAACTTTTCAAATTACTAGGGTTTTAGAATTTAACATTTCAAAATTAAACTTTTAATCAACTTTTAAATTCCAAAACTTGAGGGCAAGTTTGGAAACATTTCAAAACATTAGGGATCAAACAACAAATAATTCAAATTAAACAATTAATTTCATAATTATCTATATTTGACCTAATCTTATTTTAGTCATTAGATAATTACCAAATAACTTTAAATAAACCATATTTATCACATAAACAACCAATATTTAAAAGATTTAAAATTATCTATTGTTTTGGCAAGGATAAACATATAATTAAGATAAAATTCGGATTTTAACTTCATAAAACAATTTAAGCATCAAATCCAAGTCAAAACAGCAGCTAAATCCCGAAATACCCTCCGCCTGACGCACAGACTCGCCGAGTCAGACCTGGACTCGTCGAGTAGGGCCAACTCGCCGAATCCAGATACTGACTCGCCGAGTTGAGTCGGGTAGAGGCAAAAAACTCGTTTTTTAGCAAATAAAACAGTTAAGCATCACATACAACTGAAACCAATCAAGGCTCTGATACCACTGATGGGTTTTAGGCATAAGAACAATCCTATGTGCTCATACAAACCCTAATGCTTGCATCTAGGTTTCTCTATTGTACATGCTTTGAATCCAAGACTAACAAACTTAGATCTAACATATTATAAACTGAATTAGGGTTTATAGAATTACCTTTTATTGTTATATAGCAATAACAATCAATTCCTTGCTTGGATTGGCTTCAAAAGCTTAGTGCCTCAAGTGTTGCACCTCTAATGGAGTCACAAACACCATATGCAACTTGGATGAAGAGGAGAAGAAAGGGGAGGCACCAAAAAACGGCTAGAAACCCTAATGGAAGTGTTGTTCACGTTTTTGGGGCTTAAGGGTCCCTTTTATACATGTAGGCTATTAGGGTTTACAACTAGGAAACCCTAATCTGACTGCTTAGGCCCTAAGCAGCCCATGGACTCCTTAAACATATCCCTTGGACGATTTCTAATGGGCTTCCCATAGAATTTGTTCAACCTATATATTATTAGGTGATCCATAGCCCAATTATAATTATCTTATAATTACAACTTCAGTCCCCTAAGTTTAATTAATCTCTTTTAGCCGCAAAATTAATTCTTAATTAATTCTTGACCAATATTAATTAAACAATATGATTTCTCCTTTAATATATTATTCTCATAATATATTAATAAATCATATTTAAACCTTTCTCTCCTTAAATCATCCTACATATTGCTATGGTGAAGGCAACCCAAAAGGACCTTGCTCATAATCGGGTCAAGTACATACCAAAATAGTTATGGACTTAGACACTAATCCAATAGTTCCTTTGTCACTATTCTCAATTCTTTCAAATCACCTTCAAATGTAGACTTCTGAGAATTCACCCTCATCTCATTGTTATGATCACATATATCAACTTTCTCCAAAAGACGAGACCCAGAGTCTTTAATCATGCCCGAAACTTTTAAGGTGATCCTTCCTTCTAGTAGTTTTAACAAACCATCAACTTCTAAACTCGTTACAGAATGACCTCCCCCAATATCTGCTTGTGGTTAAAGAATTGAATTCAGCTTTGTATTCAAGATCTTAAACTGCTTCATTGTCATCAGCATATGATATGGGAAATCAGCTTCCTCTTCATTAAATTCCAAGTTCTCAAAAGTTCCTCCAAAAACCTTCAAATTCATGCTCAGTTTCCATAAAAATAGACTCTTGAATTTGTGAAGTGGTTGTGGGTGGATCAGTGGATTGAGAAGAAAAAAGAGAAGTAATTGGTTGTTTGATAATGTTTTCGAAAGTAGGAGAATCAGTGGTGGAAGTAGTGGTTATGACAGGTGTAATTTGTGGAGGAAGAGAAACAAAGGTTTCTGAGGTAACAGTTGAAGGTTTACCTTGGTTTTCTTTCTTCGAATCATCCTCACCCATGATGGCATTTTCATCCGTATTAGATATGTTTACAAGAATGTTAGAAGTTCGGGCCTCCTCAGATAATGACTTGGAAACCAAATCTTTGGGTGGTATAACAACTGTCTGTGTAGGAGTAGAAGTATCCTTGTGAAGATTGGCTTCAGGAGTTTCTGGAATTGTTTCATCTTCGTCAGCTGTAGACTCAGAATAGATGATCATTTTCTTTTCTTCTTCTTCTTCTTCTTGGAAATATGTTTATCCATATCAGCAACCCTTCGTTTCTTTGATGATGGTGAAGCAGGCGCTGGAATTTCATGAAATAAAAGTCCTTGATGAGTAACATGTGGCTTTCGGACGACATTCGTGAGTGGAGATTGGCTCTTGTGCTTTGATTTCATTTTGATTTTTCAAAAAATACCGGTCTTCGAAGGAATAATTTCTTTTTGAGTTAAGGGTGTATCAGCAACTGAAACTTCGTGTATTATTGGCTCTGCATAGTAACTAGTAACTTGTTTGGAACCTTTGTAGATTTAGACTCCTTGATTTGTTTATCAGAAGAACCAGCGTTAGTCTTCTTCGTACGATTTGACTTCGTCTATTCTCTTGCCAATAGAATTCCAGTCTCAACAGTTGTATCAATTGTTTGCAAATAAGTCACTAAGACTGTATTCGTTGGATCGACTCGTTTGAGCATTGCATCTGGAACACGAGCTACAACAGGAAACTCCTCAGCATCATCAGTTGCATCCTTCAGACAACTATACACGTGAAAAACAGCTTTTTCTTCATCATTAGGGACCATAATCCCCTCTTTCTCGTAAAAATATTGCAAGATCAAGCTCCAATATCTCGCACATGAAATGCATTAAGAGAATTCGTGTTTTCAATACTCTTCAAAAAATTATTTCCATAACTGAGCAAAGTGATGTGTGTAAAACTCACTTAGTTTTAATCCTACTTTAATTATCAAATAACACACAAAAGGCAGTGAACCTATCAATTGTGGTATAGCTAAATAAGCAGGGTATCGAACACAGGGAACGGCAAATTAAATTAAAAACTAATTCTATCTAAATTACTTTAGCAAATAAGGGTTTTTCTCTAGTTTTACAAGACTAGAAACTTACTAAACAAAACTAATGCAAGGCTAGAAAAGAACAAATTAACTAGATTCAATAATGGGAAAGAAACTTCTGCTTAGTTCAACTCGGTTAACTTTATGGTTGCTTTTAAGGTAACAGTGCAATGGATTAATTCTTTCGTTGGTTACCGATTCAAGTGATTAAGTTGTGTTCACTACCCTAATCCTTAGCAAATAAACTAATTCAAACAGTGGCCAATTGCTTAACTTAATTATATTTACTAGATTAATTATTCGGGTTAAGTTAGACTTGCAATAGCTAATTAAATTGTTATTCTTAATTAACCTCTTGTTCGATAGTCATCTTACAAGCTTGCACATGAATTTACTCAATTTACTTATTAATCCTAGTTTCATATTCATTAATCCTAGACATATGATATAGTGGTCACTTATCATATGAGGTTGATAATTAATAGATGTTCATGCTAATTAACTATCTTCCTATTAACAGAAAATAAATTATCATTCATACACAAGGTTCTTTAGCAAGCTAAAATAACAATTAATCACCAACTTGGAATTAATCCTACCAATCAATCAAACCATATTGTCAACTTTGTATCCCCAAACAGAAGTATAAAGAAATTAGTTCATAACTAAGGTGAATAACAGCAAACAAATAAGTTCAAGTTGCTTAATCATATTGACAAAACAAAAGAATTGAGTAGAATGATGAAATTACGCCTCAATTACTCCCGGAATTGGATTCTAGCTTCTTTGGTCGACTTCTAGGGTTCTTCTGGCTTTTTATTCGCAGCTAAACACTTCTGAAACTTCCCAGAATTCTCCTCTTTTCGCATTATAGAGTTATCTTTATATATGCATACCGACTCGTCGAGTCCCTCTCACATTAGTCGTAACCTGATAACTGTCTTGACTTCCGAATGCTTATCTTTCTGAATCCGCGACCGGACTCATCGAGTCAAGAGGCAACTCGACGAGTAGAAGTTTTTTTTTTTTTTTTTGGTTGTTTTCTTTCTTCTTTCCACTCTTGAGCTCTTAACCGCTTCTCTTGCTTCCTTTCGCTTCCGAACTTCATCTTTGGACTGAAAAACATAATTTAACACTTTTAAGTACTTTTTGTCCATAATATGCAACAATTTAGCTAATACATAATTAATAAACTACACTTAATACACACTAAATATGCACATATCACAAAGTAATCCACTTGAATATCATAATAAAGCCCTGCTACCATGACATAAACCTCCATTCTACCCTTGTACAAACCAACTATTCTTCCAGTCAAACACCTCAAGAAAATACCAAATAAGAAATTGTTGAATCCATTTGTGTTGCGTCTTGGGCCATAAGTTTTGTACCCGGATTGGGCCTGTCCATCCGTGGTTATCTAGAATAGTTTGATAGTTATCTAGATTAGCTAATAGGGTTTTAATAGAAATATGCATGCATGTATGCATAATTAAATGCAGTCATACATTACGTTTATCATTGTAACCCTAAACTCCTCTATAGTTGAAGTTCTTCGTCGAGCTCATATGAGGTGTTGAAGTTATAATCATTCGACATATTCAGTACAATTCTCGTGTTCTTTATTACGTTATTATTTATTAACTTGTTTAGAATCATTCGATCTTGAAAGAATTTAGTTCTAACAATTGGTATTAGAGCAGGAGATTGTGTGATCAATACACATTCCTTCTGTATTCAGATTACTTTAAGGTTTTCGCTTTTATCGTATAAATAGAAGTCGTCTTCTTCATATCGACGGTAACTTAGTTTCTGATAAAACCCTAATCTCAAGATTACAGTTTAATTCTAACAGCTCACCATGTCTCACGATGATTCGCATACAAACCCCATCAACATCTCAAACAACATTGGATCTACAACAAGGGTACCCATACTCTATACTCAAGATTACGAAGTATGGGCTCATCACTTTAAAGACTACGTGGTTGGATCTGAAGATAATGGCTATCTCATTTGGGAAGCTATCACTCTTGGACCGTTTGAAGACTACGTGGTTGGATCTGAAGATAATGGCTATCTCCTCTCAAAAGGATGAAGAGAAAAAGGAGAGCAAGTTTGCAGGAGATTCTGGATACGACTGTAACTACTGTCATGGCAAGAACCATTTTGTCAAAGATTGCATGTTGAGAAAAATGGCTGAGAAGAGAGAGGGTGAAGATGATGAGGCGTATTATATGCGCAAGTTAGAGGAAATCAAGAAGAAAAAGGTGACTAACAGCTCTATGAATGCGCTGATTGTACAGGAGAATGCTGGGGAAGATGAGTTCGGTGGCGTAGAAGTTTGGTCAACCGAATCTGAAGATGAAGAGGTTAGAAGGCCACTCATAGAAAGGCTTTTGTGACAAAGGAAGAAGGTTCGACTGGAAAGTGTTTCATTGTCACTACTGATCCATCAACCGAAAGTGAAGATAAGGAACCGAACCTGACCGAAAATAAGTTTTTTACGGCCAAGCCAGTGAGTGAGAAGATCAACGATTGCGATCGGCTGATAAAAAAGGTACAATCTCTTCTTGAAACTCTTAAAATTACAAAAACAGATTATCAAGAAGAATTAAATGAATTGAACTTTAAATTTTCTAACCTTAGTAGTAGCCTCACACAAACTCGCTTAGTGAATTCTAACCTAACTGACCAACTCAGCAGGGTGTCTTCAAAAAGTGAGGAAAGAAGAATGTGGATTGAGCTGAAGGAAGCAGAGTTAGTTAGAGCTAGGGACGAAAGTATTTATTTGTAAAGAGACAATTTAATGTTTTTAAAACAAAGAAATGTTTTCTGTATAATTGCTAGGCTTCTTTATACTAATATTGCTGAATTACATTTAAGTTGTGAAATTGGAAAGAAAATTCATAAAATGATATTGCCCTTTCTTGAATTTAAGGAAGATGATATCATAGCAGAATGTGAATCAGTAGTGTCCTTAGAAGAGACATCTATGTCTTATAGGCTAGGTCTGGAAAAGATAGAAACCTTCATCGACTCTAAGGAACATAAAAGCATGCTAAAAGATATACTAGATGAAAATGATAGGCTAAAAATTAAATATGAAACTATTCAATCTTTCGATCTCTCAACTGCCAAACTTGACAATGAACATAAAATAAACTTAGAAAATACATCTAAATTTGATATGGAAAGCGAGATGAGTGAAATCTCAGTAGAGGACGAAGTTGACTGCTCTAAGTTTATGAAAAATGAAGCTGAGAATGAAAAACCACTAATATCAGAAAACTCGGTTGAATTTGCTTGTTTGTCAAAAGAATAGAAACCGAAACTCAAGGAAAAGGCCATGGTCTATCAAAAGGTTCAGACTATGCCAAATCAGGTTTATGATGTTACTGGGGTCACTCAAAGGCAAACGGCAGAATTAAGAATCTTGGTCGACAAAGATAATGCTGAAGGATGCGATGACTACTTCTAGTCTGCTCCAATTGACAACGCATATGAAACCGTTGGCCTATCTAAGTAGACTACATTGAGGGTTAAAGGAAGATACATTGCAGAACCTATCAACACACCCTCAGGTTTCGACAAACCAAGCACAAGTGGAACACAAAAAATTCCTGAGGAACCAATTGAAGAACCGAAAGTCCTAACAAAGAATAGTGCAGAAACAAAAGTGTCCAACAAGACAACCGAAACTCAAAAGGAGAAACCAAAGGCCAGCTTCAATATCCACAAATCTCAAAAGGAGCTAGCCGAACAGAAACGCTTGAGAACTCAGAGACATGCCAAGAATCTCAATGAACGAAAAACGCACTGGAATTCTCAAAACTACAACTATGAGCCTCCTAGGAAAGGATCAATGGATAATGGAAAGTAAAAGTTGAAGGAAAATTACAGTCCTAATTCATACTATTCCAAGTCCCAGAACCAAAAGTTGAGTTTCGGTTCCCAATCCAGTTTCGGTCCTAAATCCAGTTTCGGTCCTAAACGCAGTTTCGGTCCTAAACCTAGTTTCGGTTCCTCAAAGTCCCAAGGTGAAACAAATTCTATGAAGGACATTAAAGGAAAAGGAAAGCTAATACCAGACTTTGAGATGAAAAATAATAAATCCCCAGCTAACCCTAGGGATCAAAAG